GATATATTCCTTAAATTCCTCAATATTTGATACCTAGGATTTGGTTGTGAGAAATATAGAGGATAGATGATGCAAACCGAAACAAACATGGTCGGTTAGCCCATTTGGCAAATAACTTATTGGGCCTTGAACCAATTCAAAGCCTTAACTCGTAGAAGGAAAGAAAAAAAAATATATATTTTCCAAAAATGGTCGCTTCGATTAATATTTATATGCTGATTTTACAGTCAGAGGCACACAAAAATCAAAAGCCCTAACTCTGTTTTTCTCCTTCACGGCGAGGTCTCATCTCTCTCGTTCTCCTTGTCGATTCTTCTCTCCTTTCTGGAGTTTCTCTGTATTTAACCTGTAAAAACGATAAAAATTTCGTATAAAGTCACACTTTTGTTGAATCCCTTTGGTTATCGAATCAATCCTAGTTCCAATTTATGAAAAAAAATCTTCCCTTTCGTATATTTCTCGGAAATATGTTGAGCCTGGAACTAGTAACATAGACGAAACTTGAAAATTGTGGTGTTTTCGGGGTTACTAGGGTTTGTGATAATTTGGTTTCAGTCCTTGATTCACTTCTTGCTTCTTCCTTTTGTGTGTTTCTTGGAAATATGATGAGCCTGAACTAGTAAAATAGACGAAACTTGAAAAATTGTGGTGTTTATTGGCTACTAGGTTTGTGAAAATTTGGTTCCTCTTTGTCATTCTGCTGCTTTAGTTTTTATGAGTATGCTGTGAAATGTAAAATTTGGCAAGGAAGAAATTGTATATGTTGTAATTTTGGGATTTTTTTTAGCAGTTCAGATCATACAAGAAAAGCAAATTTTGTCACTGATGGATCCAATGGAGTCGTCTGATGAACAGGTACTGGACTCTAATGGCGGCTTATACAATCAATGGATTGTAAAATGGTTGCTGTTTTAGATTCCATTGTGTTATTAAACTAAGTTACTGCAAGAAAAAGGGAAAAAAAAACCAGAACAAAAACTGTGATATGAAGTTGTTGTTGTCTTGTAAAAGGACATTGTTGAAGAAAGCCAAAAGCTGGTTGATTCATTGGACAAGCTTCAAGTTAGTGCTGGGAGTTCGTCTTCGAATTTCAAGAAGAAGCCTATCATTATTATTGTTGTTGGAATGGCTGGTAAATCATTTGACTGATAATGTTCATCGAAAATTCGCTTTGAGAGATTTCTTTAGTTTGATGTGAGCTGCTTTTGTTGTTTCTGTGCGTAGGTAGCGGAAAAACTAGTTTCCTTCATCGTTTGGTCTGCCAGACCTTTGAATCGAACAAGCGTGGCTACGTGTTGAACCTTGACCCTGCTGTTATGTCTCTACCATTTGGTGTCAACATCGATATAAGGGACACAGTCAAGTACAAGGAAGTTATGAAGCAGTATAATTTGGGGCCTAACGGTGGAATTCTCACCTCGCTTAACTTGTTTGCTACTAAATTCGACGAGGTGAGAATGGCTCCGGAATTGGTTCAAAAGAATGACTTTATCACACATGATGATGGTCGTTCTCTCGGTTGTTCTTTTCTTGATTGTTTGCTGCTTGTTTTAGGTTGTCTCTGTGATTGAGAAGCGTGCAGATCAGCTTGATTATGTCTTTGTGGATACTCCTGGTCAGATTGAAATCTTTACATGGTCTGCTTCTGGGGCTATCATCACTGAGGCTTTTGCTTCAACCTTCCCGACTGTTGTCACCTACGTGGTTGATACTCCACGTTCCACAAAGCCAATCACCTTTATGAGCAACATGCTCTATGCTTGTAGTATTCTCTACAAGACTCGGTTGCCTCTCGTCTTGGCTTTCAACAAAATCGATGTGGCAGATCACAAGTTTGCTTTAGAGGTAATATCTCTTTAATTGTCCTTCAGTATTGAATCTATTTGATGATCGTCGAGCAGAACTCTTTGTGCAGTATTAACTTAACCCTTTGGTATTGCTTTGGGTTTAATTAGTGGATGGAAGATTTCGAGGTGTTCCAAGCAGCTTTGCAGTCTGATAATTCATACACCTCGACCTTAGCCAACAGTCTCTCCCTTGCACTCTTCGAGTTCTACCGGAATATAAAATCTGTTGGTGTTTCTGCAATCTCTGGTGCTGGAATGGATGACTTCTTTAAGGCCATTGAAGCAAGTGCTGAGGAATACATGGAAACTTACAAGTAATGATGCAACTCTTCCCTTCGGATTACCCTTTTTGCAGGATCTGTACGCAAGTTCTATGCTTATAATTTGTGTTTTCTTCAGGGCTGATCTTGACACGAGAAAGGCAGAGAAGGAGCGGTTGGAAGAAGAGCGAAAGGAACGGGAAATGGAGAAGCTAAGAAAGGACATGGCGAGTTCTCAGGGAGGGACTGTGGTTTTAAACACTGGTTTGAAAGATAGAGATGCTACAGA